GCATATCAGTTAATAACAAGGGTTTAGTTAGATCGGGCTGTGATTAATCATTTAAAATTTGATTGTAGCTAATGAAAGTCGTCTTTGTTATGAAAATAAGTTAGAAACGAATTGTAACTGGCCATGGCAGCTGCGGCTTGTGCAGAATCTCTCTCTCTCTCTCTCTTTAGAACTCTACTACTCCTCTATTGAGAATGAATCCCACATTGATGAGAAGAGACCTTAGAGGGACCTTGCATGGGCTTATAAGAGGTTGGGTTATTCCCCATAATGTCAATTGGTTTTACAGTGGAACCTCAACTTTCTTCATGGTATAAGTATCAAAACAGGTTGTCCCACACGTTTACATGTGGACAAGGGCGACATGCCCATGCAAAGTCCCTCCTCCCATCAATATGTGACTCATTCTCAGTAAAGCCTAACACGTGGACAAAGGTGACTTGGACACATGGACAAGGGTGATGTGGAGCACATGTGGTGACCTGGACACATGGACAAGGGTCAACTTTCTTCATGGTATCAGTATTAGAGTAGGTTGTCCTACACATTTACACGTGGACAAGAGTGACATGCCCATGCAAGGTCCCTCCTCCCATCAATGTGTGACTCATTCTTAATAAAGCCTAACATGTGGACAAAGGTGACTTGGACACATGGACAAGGGTGATGTGGGTCACATGTGGTGACCTAGACACAAGGACAAGGGTAAACTTTCTTCATGGTATCATTATCAGAGCGAGTTGTCCCACACATTTACACATGGACAAGGATGACGTGCCCATGTAAGGTCTCTCCTCCCATTAATGCATGACTCATTCTCAATGTGGACAAAGGTGACCCGGACACATGGACAAGGATGATGTGGAGCCTAACACATGGACAAGGGTGATGTGGATCCTAACATGTGGACAAAGGTGACCGGGGCACATGGACAAGGGTGATGTGCAGCACGCGTGGCCGTATGGCTTTACACGTGGGACAACCTGCTCTGATACCAAGAAGGGGTTGAGGTTCCACCATAAAACCAATTGGCAATATAGGGAGTAGCTCAACCTCTTGTAAGTCCATGCAAAGTCTCTCTTCCCATCAATGTGGAAGTCATTCTCAACATCTTTAGCCTCTAAAATGCAGTTACTTTGCATTATATAGTCTCTTTTTCAACATGGAAAATTGGAAAAGTTTTCGAACTTTTTCTTAAAAAAAATGGATACATTAAATAGATCATTCATTTTTGAGATAAATTTACTCTCTTTAAGGTGATTTGGTATCTAATTGTTCAAGTATCAAATAATTAAGGGTAATGTTAGGGAGATTAAATAAGCATGTTTATCAACGTGTAAGTAATAAACTAATCATCAACTTCCATGTCCTTTAGTTTTTAAAACTTTGTCTACAAATTTAATCTCCCTAGCATTACTCAATAATTAATATTAATATGAGACTCACTTATTTTTATTTCGTGAAAAATGTTTTCATTGATGATCATTCATCAAGACCCACCTATTGTCCAATGCAAATGATTAAAAAATTATGTAGGAAATTAGGTATAAATTAAAGGTCATTTTAGTTTCGGTCCCTAATTAGCTTGTTAGATTGAAACCTTATTTGTTTAAATATTTTGATTGGGTCCTTAATTAGCATCATTTAAGAGATTTAACTCATGCATTTATGCATTTAATGTCCCACAAATTATGAAATTTAAACAAATTCATATAATATTTTTAAAATATAATAATACTTAAAAATCAATAATAGGGTAATATTTTTCTTCACAAAATTATAGCAAAAAAATAATGTACCCACATAATTATTAACATATTTTAAAAAATAACTATTGATATATTTTAAAACATAAAACAAATACATATAATTAGCATGGGTACATTTGGAAAAATTAAAAATGAGTACAATAAAATAAAAAATATGGGTACAAATACAAACAAAAGTTTAAAAAATATGGGCATAAAAAGAAATTAATATATGGGTACAAATTAAAACTAAAAATAAAATTGGCACAAATTAAAAAAGGATTGCAAATTAAAAATGGGTACAAACTAAAAATGAAAATATATGATTAAAAATTAGCTTTTTATATTAGCACCCCACAAAATGTTGAATGCACCTCACATTAAAATTTAATATTAAATGACTTATTTACCCCACTATGCAATGACAATTTGACCTTATTAGGTTTAAAAAAAATTCTAAATACACCCCAAATCACTTTTAGCGTATTATTTATCTTCTCAACTATCAAAACCCTCTCATCCTCCATTGTTGAACAAAACCCTAACCAATGATACTGCAAACATGTTGATTGAGAAAAATTGTTTTTGACGAATGGAACACGAAATCGATGTTTCGGAAGCTTCACATGAGGTAAGACTTCATTATTTTCATTGTTTTAGTGATTTCGATGACATCGATAATTATTTAATCTTGCATTTGCTGAGTTATTTAAACTTCTATATTCATAATCATCTTTTAGGGTTCATATTAATCTTGTGTACCGAGTAACATAAGTCGTATTAGTGCTAGAGTCATATACCATTACAAAGTAGGTACCCGCTCGGCCTCAAATAACGAGTTCAAAGCATAATTGTTAGGTGATATGGAAGTGAAAAGAAACCTAAAAGCTTGGAGGAAGTGGGGTGTATAGAAAATTAAAAATGAGTGTTATAAGATTTGAGAAATGTGGGGTGTACAGAAAATGTAGGGTGTATGTATAAAATATAAGGTGTATATTGAGAATGTGGGTGTGGGGGTGTTATGGGAAAGTATGTAGGGTTTATTCAACAATTTGTGGGGTGTTAATATAATAAGCCTTAAAAAATTAGGAAAACTAATAAAAATGGCTTGAAAACTTTGAGTTTTAACGATAATGACAAAATAAATGGTAAAGTGAATAGTATCAGGATTGACTTTTTAGTGTAAAAATATGGTTTTTCGTTAAAGTGAACAGTACCAGGATCTTTTCGTTAAAGTTCCCATAATAAGTTAGCCATAAATATAAATATACCCTATGTAACATTTCTAACAATAAATGAATATATTTAGAAATAAAAAAATATTTTGTTATTGAAATAATTAACAGTTAATTAGAATTAGATGCCTCATTTTAGATTTTTCTAAATTAAACATCTATTACTTTTCAACTTTTGATTAAAGTGCTTTTACTTTTAATTAAACTTTATATTCCAGGTATATTCTTAATTTAAGTATTTTATAAATTCTTTTAAATCCATTTTTATGTAAAAAAAAATGCACTCAATAATATTCATTAATTTATTACTATTTTTATGGAATCTCATCCCTTCCTCAATTTAAGGATTCAATTATATCTACTGGGGTTCAAGATTAATTAGATGAAATATAGTTTTTCCAATTCCAACTCAACATTTTATATAGATAATAAAAAAACAAGAGTTCGTTTATAATTAAAATTGAGATGTAGACTAGACTGCCTAATTTCATGCAACTGAAAATAAATTTGAATTTTTTAACAACTACTTATAGTAGAAACGTGAAATAAGAGTTTTCACATTTTTATTTATATTTAAAATAAGTCCTTATTCCAATAATTAATTATTAAGAGTTGACAAAATATTTTTTAGTGCAATGTTTTAATGTGAACAGTTATTTTTTTTTTTTGGGTTACACAACTTACACATAACGTACCATAAGTTTTGTACGTACCAAAATAAGGATAATACAACGTACTAATAACTTGATACGTACTAAATAAAGAATTGCATAACGTACCAAAAGCAATATTTTATAACGTACCAAAATACTAATATGTACCTAGATTAAATTTATATAACGTACCAAATGATTGGTACGTTATATTTAATATATCTGTTTGGTACGTTATATTTAATATATGTGCATATTATATTTCATAATTGTATGTTAATAGGATGTTTATGTGTTTTTAGAATTTAAAACAACAAATTATTTGAATAAGAAAAATTCAGTTTGAACGAATTATGATAAGATAAGATAGGAAGTTTGTGATGAGTTTAGAATATTTGTGATATTATTTTCTGAACTAGTTGATTAATTAAATACAATAAAAATCATAATTTTTAATTAAAAATTAGTAGAAGAATGTTTGATCAAAAGTTTAAAAGTTATAGATGTTTGATTAAAAAAATTCAAATTTGAGGCATCTATATCAAAATGCCCCAATTATTAATGACGTTTATTGAAACCTAAGAACCTTGATCAAAAATTAAAAAGGAATAATATTTTAATCCATGGAGTAACAAAAAGAGAGATGAGAACCTAATTTATTCGTAAATGAATCACGTGATTTATAATGTCCAAGTTGATAAATCGTAAATCATTAACCAATCAACTTTGTGTAATCTTAACTTTTGAAGGAATAATCTCCGGCCATCACAACAATCCTTGTTAAGAAAAAGGTCCTAGCTCAGATCGAAATGTGAATTGTGTAGAATCCTTCGCAATACGTGCTGTATATGTATTGTATTCTTGCAATGTGTGCCCATTAATTTACTACTGGAAATCTAATCCTTTGAATGTCTTGAGCAGCTTGTATGCATGCTAGACACATGCAGTCGCGCATGCATGAAAACCACTGTTTTCTTGGCACGTACTTCTGATTCACATTGCCTATTATGTATTGAGAGATGTAAAGTCAAGTCACATTTAATTATCATTAAGTTTACGGATGAGATTAGGCCAGAAGCGGCACTGCTTTCAATCCTCTGCTAGCCGCTGCCGAATGCCGATTGCCATCTAATTAAATCCTGCCAGTTTCTTGTCTACTCTTTCTAATGGTTATCACGACCATCAAGAGCCATGCATGCGCCTCTCTCTCTCTCTCTCTCTCTCTCTCTCTATATATATCTATATACACACATACACTAAGGCTTTGAACTTGAGCTCTCTCTATATCTTCACTCATGTTTTCTCCAACGATGAGTTTCAAAATGGGACTGATTCATTGTTGCTTGTTGTTGTGTCTGATCGTTATGGTAGCCAATCATGTTGAAGCACGTCAGCAGCCTACAGAGATTCCAAAACAGGTTGAGGAGGAGCAAACCAAGGGAAAACCCCTAGGAGGAAGTGGTAATGATCAAAGTGAAGGAAAGGTGATGGAGCAGTCCTCAGGAAAGGCAAAGATGGATGAGTTGGGTGAGATGAAGAATTTGCCACCACTTCCTAATATTCCCATTCCACCCCAATTCCCATTGCCGCCCCAAATTCCTGGCTTTCCAATTCCACAATTCCCGTTTCCACCCCAAATTCCTGGCCTTCCAATTCCGCAATTCCCCTTCCCACCCCCATTTGAGATTCCTAATGCCCCTCCATTCCCATCAATTCCCAATTTCCCATTCCCTCCTTTTAATATTCCTAATATCCCCCTCTTTTCACCTCCTCCTGCTTAACTTTTCTAGTTGATTAATTAATTAGTAAGCTTTATGTTACTTTGCAAGTTCTATCAACTAATGAGTGTATGTTTTTTTGCAACTTAAGTAGGTGAGCTGGGTTAATATGTACTTTTCGTATGATGTTAATTTCAATTTAATAGTGAAAAGTATTTAGTTTCCCTAACCAACTTATATGCAACATTTGTATTGTGGTCTAATTACAATTTTTACACCATTCAGATCAATTACGGTTAAAATAATTGGGATGATGATATTAACACTTTTTTTTTTGTCCAACTTGTAGGGTATAGCTAAAAATAGTTAGTATAGTGATATTAATACTCACTTTATATGGCCTCGAGCACTCCTTCAATAAGTACAAAAACTGGCAAATTATTCAATTTAGAGAGTAGATTAAAATAGTAGTGACAAAAACGCTACGCAAAGGTTGAAAAAAGTACTTATGATATCAGCCTGTGGTATGAGTAATTGAGGAACAATGAGTCATCAATAGATTGAGTGCATTATAGCTAAAAAGATGAAGTTAACATCATCTCTAAAACATTGAAAGGAAAAAAAAGGTGAATCATCACTAAATCAAGCTGCAATTTGAGAACACACAATATGAACTAGCTTGCTAGGAGTAGTAAAAAAAAAAAAGAAATTGCCGTGCCTACAACAAAGGTAATTCATGGGGTGGTTGTTGCCTCCTTGGTTGGAATCACTGGGTCTGAAATCTTAGCCAGCACTGGTGGCCGTAGAGGAGCAAAAGGATTATTAACTGAAGGCATGGTTGGGAATGGGAATGGGAATGGGGGAATTGAAGGGATTTTGGGAATTGTTGGGAAGCCAGGAAATGGGAGCAAAAAGTTCATATTTTCAACTGGGCTGGGAAGCTGCTGCACCATGGGCTCTTTGAAGTATGGCACTGTTGGTTCCATTTGGCTGTTGAGACTTGAGGGTGCGTTTGGTACGCAGACGGGACGGAACGGGACGGGACGGGACGGAACGAAGGTGTAATTTTTGAAAAAGACATGGGGTATATTTGTCTTAAAATGGTAAAACATTGCGTTCCACAAACGTGGAACAAACCCGTTCCAGGGGGGAGGTGGAACGCAAAAACACTCAAAATCTGTCCCGTGGAACAGCCCGTTCCACCCATTTTTGGCGCACCAAACGCGGGACGGAACGCCTCGTCCCGTTCCGTCCCATCCCGTCCCGTCCCGTCCCACGTACCAAACGCACCCTGACTGCACAGCTGAGGAGGAAGAGTCCGATCCCAAGAATTGCATCGTTGATGGCTTCTTTAGCTCCAACAAGCGGCTGGATGCCAAGCATAAGTGAAAGCTGCAAAGTAGCGAGCCGAGAAAGAGCAAGTACAAGAGAGAACTGAGACCAGTGAAAGCCATAATAATTAAGGAAAACTAATGAAAAAGCCTTGAAAACTTTGAGTTTTAATGATAAGGACAAAATAAAGGGTAAAGTGAATAGTACCCGGATTGACTTTTTAGTGTAAAAATGTGGTTTTTCGTTAAAGTGAACAGTACCGGGTGCTTTTCATTAAAGTTCCCTAATAATTATTAGGTCAACTGAGAAAATTAAGTGATGATATATATCGATGGTGATCAGAGAGTGGGGCGCTTTTTATATATTTAGGGGCAGAGAAGAGAGAGTGAATTATAGTTTGGCTACTTAATGGTTGGTTCATGGTTTTCGTGCTACTTCTACTTTGAACCTAATACTTGAGTCATGCACACATTTTGGCTTTTGGCTTTTGACTTCATCTAATAGGAAGTTGAACTGTTTTGGTGTTTCACTTTGTTAATGAGATTAGGGACTTTTCATCAAGAAAAGCATGTGCCTCAATTACAAGATTAGAACTTCATTGGTTGAATCATTAGCTACGAATTTGTCTTGTAATCTGTCGTATACATCTCATTCTATCAACCTCTTTCCTGTTCTATGATAGACACAAGGTGATATTGGATTAATAAGGAAAACTGATTGATGGAAGGCTAAGTAATAGTACAAGGGCAGAGAAGAGAGAAAGTGAATTCTATTTTGGGAACTTTAGCGAAATGCACACAGTACTGTTCATTTTAACGAAAAACCACATTTTTACACTAAAAAGTCAATCTTGGTACTATTCACTTTACCATTTATTTTGTCCTTATCGTTAAAACTCAAAGTTTTCAAGCTCTTTTCATTAGTTTTCCTTTCTATTTTTGGTGCATGGGTCATCTCTCTGAGATTTTCAAGGCCCTATGCGAAATTTACAAAATAGCTCATTCTTAAGATAATTTTTCAAAAAAAAGTAAAGATAATGTACTGATGTTAGAAAGCAATAACTTAAATCAAAACAAACTTAAGACTTACTGATTGTAAATTTATAAATGTCATTAAATAATAAGTAAAAAGAGTTACAAACATAACCTTTACTAAATAGTCAAAATCACTTCAATCTAAAACAACCAAACAAAAAAAAAAGTTTCAAAAACTCTAATGTCAAAGTTTCACTTGAATATATAGCATTATTATATAATAGAATTGAAAGAAAAAAAAAATGTTTTTTGATGTTATTATTAGCACTTCAAACATCTCATTAAAATACACTCCAAATATTTATATATATTTAGAAAGAAAAAAACTTACATGTATAAAGAGTGCACAATAATATTTTTTTAATATATAGCATTATTACATATAAATTTTACATGGAAATTTTTTTGAGGCCCTTGAAATTTGGGGCTGCACCTTTCGCTCCCCTAGTTGGTGTTCAGGGCTCCCATCCTGCTTCCACCTTGAACCTAATATTTGACTCATGCACGCAGTTTGGCTTTTGAATTTAGCTCGGTAGGTTTTTATAGAGAAAAGTTGTTTTTTTTATGGCATTTTGGTAGTTTTGTGAGGATGAAAGATTAAGTGGCAATGTAAATTCTTATATTTTGTCGTAGATAATTATTCTGGAAATAAAGCGCTTAACCAGGAAGAAAAATATGTTTTATATAAGGTAGTAAAAAAGTAGAAGACAAGAACACTAAACTCACAAACACAAAAAAGACTTCAAAGTTGTCTAGCCTACCTTTTCCCAATTCTTTTTGTAATTCAACACCTTTACAAATTGTATTTATGTTTTAATATCTGCTACATTACTTATATTATCGATTTCTTGAAAGAAAACTTCATTTCAAAGCAATTTAGCTACCAGTAAGAAAAAAAAATTTAGATTTTATCATAATCTTACTGTGTCTATTTCAAAAAATTAATATTGTGTCCGTACAAGTGGATGGGCATGTTTAGTACTCTACTTGAATCCAACTTTTTAAACTCAAAAACAATTTTCAAGTTTTAGGCCTTAAAAACTTGTTTGGTACGACTATTTTCAAAAACTGAACTCAAGACTGACAAAAAAATATAGTATATTCTCTAAAAACATTAAAAAGTGAGTTTTTAGAGTTTTTAAATTTAAACTCACTCATTTCTTTTCGCTCCCTCCTCCCCTCTCTCTAAATCTATCTCTCTATCTTTTCTTTTTTCCCTCTCTTTTTTTTTTACATTTTTCGTCTCTTCTCCAATCCACTCTCTTCATTCTCTGGATTCTTTCTCACTCCTCTTCCTCTCTATCTCGTCCAATCCTCTCTCTTCTTTCTCTTTTCCTCAATCATCTCTTACTTTCTTTATTCTTCTCTCTTTTTTCTCCCTCTATTGCGACCCCATCTTTTTAGATCTCTTTGTCTAGTTGAAGTTGTAAGATTTAAAATTTTTAAATCACAAACCAATTAAGTTTTTGAGTCTTAAAGAAAATTGTTTTCAAGAAATGTTCTTAAGAAATAATAAAAAATTTCAAATAGGATACCAAACAAGCCCTTATATTTTCAACCTTATCAGATCTAATTTGATATTTAATTTGGACTTAGTTCAAATGCACATTGGAATTTTTATCGCATTTCAGATGAAAATACTGAACTTAATTGTTTTGATGTTAAATGTGACATGTTTTTTATTTATCAGATTGACATGACATCTTCAGAATTTTTTATTATTTTGTTTAGACTTGTTTTTAGCATGTGATATCTAAGCTCAGTATCTGTTTTTAGGTACTACGTGATTGGTGTCATTGTTGTCCTTGCTGTTGCTGTTCTGTGGAGGGTTTTCCGAGCCCCCAACTCTAAATTTTATGATTGTCTTTGGCCTTTCCTAAAGGTCGTTTTCAACGGTATCTGGCGTTTGCTTAGAGGTGTAGTCAGACTCTACAGATATGGGTGCACAACCATTATTTCCTTAATTCCAAATATCATATCCCTGCTACGCCAGTCTCTTTCTGCAGGTTCTCTTTCCGCAGGTTTTCTGGTAAGTTGTTCCCACTCTCATTTTCTATTCATTTGTTGATATCTAAGTTCTAACTTTTATTTTTGTTATCTTAGTTTATGATAGTCGTAGCTGTTACCACTCTCATTGGACATTTAGGGTCTCAATTGGCTTTCCATGCCCCTACCCGATCTATTTCCGCTTCACGAGCAACAGGACCTTCCGGAAGAATGGTTCATAGCCCACGAAGTGCATCTGGATCAACAGTCGGTTTTAAGGTTCCTGCGGAACGTGCCAAGTCGCTGGCGAATTACAGGTGCCGTGGTGGTGGCTGGAGCTGCAGGGGTTGCTGCTAGAGCTGCAGGGGTTGTTACAGATGAAGTTTCTCCCCTGGACATCTTTGCGGCACAAGTTAACCACATTCCGAGGAATGTCTTGGTAGCTACTGGAGCCATCCTACTCGACGTTATTCCATACGAAGATGTATGGAATTACGTCTCGGACACTGCCACTCAGTATGAGACTATGGTCCGCAGAGCAAGGAGGAATTTCTCGCCAGGGTCGAGCCCCAGATGATTTGATGGTTTTAGGATTGTGTTTAGAAACTCAAAACTAAGTGTTTAATCTATTACGTAGTTTAGACAATCAATCTTTAATGTGTTTAGAAACTTGGGTTTGATCTGTTTACGTTGTCGGGCCACAGCGTCCCTATAACTTAGACTATTCCATTACCGGTGGCTATGTAGTATGTATAGGATTCCTTAATGCAACCCCTGCAGCTCCAGCCACCACCACGACACCTGCAATTCGCTAGCAACTAGGCACGTTCCGCAGGAACCTCAAAACCGGTTGCAGTGTTTATCCAGTTGCGCTTCGCGGGCTACTAGCCATTCTTCCGAAAGGTCCTGTTGCTCGTGAAGCGGAAATAGATCGGGTAGGGGCAGGAAAAGCCAATTGAGACCCTAAATGTCCAATGATAGTGGCAACAACTACGACTATCGTAAACTAAAATAACAAAAATAAAAGTCAGAACCTAGATATCAACAAATGAATAGAAAATGAGAGTGGGAACAACTTACTAGAAAACCTGCGAAAAAAGAATCTGCAGAAAGAGACTGGCATAGCAGGGATATGGTATTTGGAATTAAGGAAACAATGGTTGTGCACCCATATCTGTAGAGTTTGACTACACCTCTAAGCAAACGCAGATACCGCTGAAAACGGCCCTAGGAAAGGCTAGAGACAATCAAAAAATTTAGAGTTGGGGGCTCGAAAAACCCTCCACATAACAGCAACAGCAAGGACAACGATAGAAACAGCAAGGACAAACGATGACACCGATCACGTAGTACCTAAAAAAAGATACTTCGCTTAGATATCATATGCTAAAAACAAGTCTAAACAAAACAATAAAAAATCCTGAAGATGTCATGTCAATCTGATAAATAAAAAACATGTCACATTTAACATCAAAACAATTAAGTTCAGTTTTTTCATCTGAAATGCGATAAAAATTCCAATTTGCATTAGAACTCAGTCCAAATTAAATATCAAATTAGATCTGATAAGGTTGAAAATATAAGATATCCAAAAAGAATTCAACAGGTAATCTTACATGTGCCTTGCGAGGGGATCGAAATCGATCGCATCAAAAGCAGATGCCACCCAACGCAAAATAGCAGCGACAATTGCAGACACCTAATTAGCAAAACAAAATAACCTAAATCCTAAATCAAATAGCATAGCACGTCAGGGAGGAAGGGAGAGAGAGGCGAGGGAGAGAGGAGAGAGGGATCTACCATGTCAAAGGAGATCGAATGCGCGAACGAATGCGAGAGATGCAAGAGCGAATGCGCGAGTTCTTGCACAGGACCGAATGCGCGGGATCGATTTGTAACATTTGTTACGGTTCCTGAAATTTACTGCGCCTATATTTATAAGAGACTAAATCTCACTCACGATCCGTCCGATCTGGATAGTTCTACGGTCCAGAGTCCTCGACTCCCCGCCGATCTGAACGAGTAATAAGAGCATGTAAAAACAAATAAATATAATAAAAAATGTAAAAAGCTGATACAAGGAAAAAAATTTCAGATCCACAACTTCTGAAATAGAGAACAAGCATAGCATCAAATGTGCAAACACAGAAACCGAAAACAAGCATAATATCAAATGATACAAATTTGCTTGTTATCAATTTCTGAGGATGAGTATTTGATATCATATTTGTTTTCAATTTCTTAGGCTGTTAAGGCCTCAACACAATTTTTTTTCTGTACACGGCATTGGAGAGAGATTTGTGTTGGGAGAGAGAAAAGGGACAAAGAGGAGAGGATAGGAGAGGAAGGCTGCCGTCTGATCGGTTTCACCATCTCTAACCATCATTATATAGCGTTACCAACTTAGGGTTTCAAATGAAGTTACAAAATTACCCCTCTGTTTAGATCTGGATTTAAAGCGGCTCTATTGGGCTCTTTCGTTGTCATTAAATGGCCCACTAACTATCGAAATTCTAAATTTACAGGGCACTTTCATCAAAAACAGCATGTGCATCATTACAAGTTTAGAACTTCATTGATTGAATCATTAACTACAAAGTTGTCTTGCAACCTATCACATATATCTCAGGTATCCAAAGCTGCTGCTACCTTGAACCTAACACTTGACTTATACATGCAGTTCGGCTTTTGAATTTGCACTACTTTTATTTGGACTGAGAATAAACATTGGGCATGTTCAAGGCTCAAACCTAAAGCGATGATTTGTATTTATTTTTAGGGTAAAAGACTGTTTACTACCCTAATGTTTCGTGGTTTTCAACATTTAGTACATCAAGTTTTTTTCGTCTCAGAGTCATACCTAAAGTGTAAATTTTGGGACAATCTCATACATCCGTTAGTCAAACTGTTAAGTTTTTCGTTAACTGTGACATGACGCACTGACTGGGCGCCACGTGTCATCCACGTTTTTTTTTTCTTTCTTTTTTCTTTCTTTTCTTTTCTTCTTCTTCTTCCTCCGACTGCAACTTTCTTCTTCTTTTTTTCTTTTTTTTTTTTTGCTTCTTCCTTCTTCTTCTTCTTCTTCTTCTTCTTCTTCTTCTTCTTCTCTTCTTCTTCTTCTTCTTCTTCTTCTTCTTCTTCTTCTTCTTCTTCTTCTTCTTCTTCTTCTTCTTCTTCTTCTTCTTCTTCTTCTTCTTCTTCTTCTTCTTCTTCTTCTTCTTCTTCTTCTTCTTCTTCTTCTTCTTCTTCTTCTTCTTCTTCCTCCGAAATCTGGGGAAGTTTGTTTTTTTTTTTTCTTTCTTTCTTCTTCTTCCTCCCTCTTCCTTCTTCTTCCTCCGACTGCAATTTTTTCTTCCTCCTTCTCCTTCTTCTTCCTCCTTCTTCTTCTTCTTCTTCCTCAAAAAAAAAAAAACACTTTCATCTTCCCCCAAATTCGGAGGAAGAAGAAGAAGAACGAAGAAGGGGAAGGAAGAAGGAGAAGAAGGAGGAAGAAAAAAAAAAACTGAATCTGGGCAGATTCGGAGGAAGAAGAAGAAGAAAGGAGGAAAGAGAAAGAAGAAGAAGAAGAAGAGAAAAAAAAAAAAAAAAAAAAAGCTTCCCCAGATTCGGGAAGAAGAAAGAGAATGAGAAGGAAGAATAAGGAAGAAGGGGAAGAAATGAGGAAGGAAGGAAGAAGGAGAAGGAAGAAGAAAAAAAAAATTGCAGTCGGAGGAAGAAGGAAGAAGAAAAGAAAAGAAAGAAAAAAGAAAAGAAAAAACGTGGATGACACGTGGCGCCCAGTCAGTGCGCCACGTCACAGTTAACGAAAAACTTAACAGTTTGACTAACGGATGTATGAGACTGTCCCAAAATTTACACTTTAGGTATAACTCTGAGACGAAAAAAACATGATGTACTAAATGTTGAAAACCACGAAACATGAGGGTAGTAAACAGTCATTTACCCTTATTTTTAAGAGCAGTTCCACCCCTAACACAAATGCGCCAGCACCTAGCGTATTTATTAAAATATTATTAATTTTTATTATAAAATAATAAAAATTAATAATTTTTTCACCAAAAAAAAAAAAAAAGTTGCTGCTACCTTGAACCTAACACTTGACTTATGCATGTAGTTCCGACGTATGTCTATGTTGCTACTGGAACCATCCTACTCATCACTATACCATACGAAGATGTATGGAATTATGTGTCGGACACTACCAATTGCTTTGAGACTATGGCCTACAATGTAATAAGGATGATCTAGCCTCGATCAAACCCTTGAATAATGGTTGTCACCATATGATTTGATGCTTTTATGTTTGTGTCTAGAATCTCAAAACTAAGTTTTTGATCTATTTACTTAGTTTAGAAACTCAATTCTTTAATGTGTTTAGAAACCCAAGTCTTTGTTTTTAGGTACTATGTGTATAAGTCTATGTTTTTAGGTACTATGTGATCGGCATGGCATGTGCCATCATTCTCCTTACCGTTCTGTGGAGGGTTTTCCGACCCCTAACTCTAAGTCTAACTTTTCCATCTGAAAACAACCGTTTCAGTGCAATAACAATTCCAAATCGCATAAATTAAATCTGATAGGGGAAACACAACTAAACCCTAATAAAAAAACAAGTCTAAACAAATCTAAACAAATCAATCCAAGATCCTGAAGATATCAATTTGATAAACAAGTCCAACTTATCATAGCTTAGATATAAGTTAAAACAAGTCTAACAAATCAATCAAAGATCCTGAAGATATCAATCTGATAAAAAAAATGTAGTTATCAAACATGGAATTATCATAGCTTAGATATAAGTTAAAACAAGACTAAACAAATCAATCAAAGATCATGAAGATATCAATCTGATAAAAAAAATTTGCAGTTATCAAACATTTAAAAAGAAAATCAAAGAACCGTTAAGGAAATGACTGAAGATGTTGACATTTTGAACTATGAAAGAAAATAGATCAAAACACCTAAATAAACAAAACAAAAATCAACTATTAAGTCCAATTTTTTCATCTGAAAACAACCGTTTCAATGCGATAATAATTCCAAATTAAATATTAAATTATATTTGATAGGGTTGAAAAAGATATGCAAATATCACATTAAAAGAAAGAAGTAAATAAAGATCCAATTTTAGGAACAAACACCCAACAAAACACAAATCATGTTGGAACTGAACTAGGTTAACGTAAAGCTTTTGTGAACACAAGGTATATTGCACTGATAAACTCGGGAGAATTCTTATTAAACTGAAAGACATTAACTAGCTATTATATAGCTTTACATCAACCAGAAAGTGAAATAACAACCCACGATAAACAAACCCTAGAATCGTGGTAATCGACCAAGTCAAAACAGAAAACAAACAAACTTGTCCCTCAAGTGTAGGAGGGTTATTAGCACGTCCAGAAATAAACCCTAGAATAAAGGAACCCTATCATCTAGAATCTCAGATAACTTCAACATCCTCCCTTAAACTGAATACCATTGATATTCAGTTTATTCTAGGGCATTTGCAAACACCTATTAAATCTCGCAGCTTCTGAAATACTTCAAGTTTCAGCGGCTTCGTCATTATGTCTGTGATCTGCTCCTGCGTAGAACACTGCAGCAACTCTACTACCTCATCTTTGACAAGATCTCGAAGGAAATGAAACCTTACATCTATATGTTTACTACGGCCATGCATTACTGGATTCTTTGAAAGCTTAATGGTTGAGACATTATCACAATAAACCACTGTCGAACCAATTTGCCTCAAATTCAAACTACTCAGAATCCTTCTTAACCACATTACTTGACACGCACTTGAAGCTGCATCAATGAACTCTTCTTCAGTGGTGGAAAGAGTGACCACTGGTTGCTTCTTCGAGGACCATGAGACTGCTCCTGAATTCATCATAAATACATAACCTGACGTGCTCTTTTTGTCATCTTGATCACCAGCATAGTCACTGTCCGTATAGCCGATAAGCCCTTCATCTCCTCCCTTCTTGTAGAATACCCCAAACTCAACAGTGCCCTTTATGTACCTTAAAATCCTTTTGGCTGCCAACAAATGAGTCTCAGTGGGATACTCCATGTACCTGCTGATTAGGCTTACGGTGTACATAAGATCAGGTCGTGTAGCTGTTAAGTACATAAGACTTCCAACCATCTACTTATAAAATGTGTTGTCTACTCTCGCTCCTCCTTCATCACGAGTGAGTTTAAAACCAAGAACCGCAAGGTTATGCACTGAGTTGCACCGACCCATGTTAAACATTTCTAACACTTCATGTGCATACTTACGTTGACTCATAAAAATACCATCTGATGTCTGTATTACTTCAATGCCAAGAAAGTACCTCATTTGTCCGAGATCAGTCATATCAAACTCAATCATCATGGATTTCTTAAATTGCTCAAACAACACTCCATCATTCCCAGTGAAAATAAGATCATCAACATATAGGCAAACAATCAATATTTTACCTTCATTGGCTGTCTTGATAAACAATATGTGCTTAAAGGGACATTTGCTGAAGCCCTCATTGATAAAATACGCCTCTATTCGACTGTACCATGCTCGTGGAGCCTGCTTGAGCCCATATAGCACCTTCTTGAGACGATATACCTTGGCTTCGCTTCCCTTCTGTTCATATCCAGGTGGTTGTTCAACAAAGACTTCTTCATTAATCTCTCCATGCAAGAAAGCTGATTTGACATCGAGTTGGTAGATCTTCCAACTCCTTTGTGCAGCAAGGAAATAACCACTCGAATTGTATCCAATCGTGCCACTAGTGCTAACACTTCAGAAAAGTCTACTTCATATTGTTGGCTATACCCTTTGGCAACAAGCCGAGCCTTGTACTTGTCCACCTCTCCATTTTCATTCAGTTTTGTCTTGAAAACCCACTTTACTCCAATAGTTTTTCCTCCTGATGGTAGGTCAGTCAACTCCCATGTATTATTCTTCTCTATTGCTTCTATTTCTCGATCCATTGCTTGTTTCCACTTCTCACTCTTCATGGCTTCGCAATAAGTAGTGGGATCGCCGTTAGTAAACAAGGCTAGATAAGCCAGGTTCATACTTTCTTCATCAGAGAGACCTTCACCAGTGTCATAGTCTCTCATCCAAATTGGTGGCCTTCGAGCTCGTCCCTCTTGAGGTGCACTGCCTTCATTTGTGACATCTTCTGATTTGAATAAGTTATCACCATTCGACTCATGAGCTTCAGATTCTTCTTTATCTTCTTCTTCATTTCCTTCATCTTCTGTAACTGTTTCTTCATCAAGATTAGCTAAGATAGCTTCCTCATGACTTTCATCCCAAATCCATTGTTGATCTTCCTCAAATACCACATCTCAACTTATAATAGTTTTGTTTGAGATGGGGTTAAACAATCTATAAGCTTTGGATTCTTCACTTACCCCCAACAATATGCATTTGATGCTTTTGTCATCAAGTTTCACTCTTTTGCTATCAGGTACGTGCACATGAGAGATGCAACCAAAGACCCTAAAATGCTCCACCGATGGTTTGCGCCCACTCCATGCTTCCTCAGGTGTCTTGCTTTTCACAGCAAGGGTTGGACTTCGATTCAACACGTGAACTGCCCAGTTCACTACTTCTGGCCAGAAAGTCTTTGGAATATGCTTCTCTGATAACATACATCAAACCATATTCATGATGGTTCGATTCTTTCGCTCAGCAATGCCGTTTTGTTGAGGCGTGTAGGCAGCTGTCAACTGTCTGTGAATGCCATTCTCATTGCAAAAATCTGTGAATTCATGTGATGTGAACTCACCTCCTCGATCCGTCTTCAAACTTCTTATGAATGCTCATG